AAAAATGCAATAATAAGTGATATTAGTCAAGCATAAGGCTAAAGAACTGAGATAAATCATTCACTAGATTGAAGTAAGACAAAAGGAATAAATATTAGCATGAATACCGTCAGAAAACAGGGGGCTGGATAAATTAAATTAATAGGCTTAGATTTTTTCCCATTCCAAATAGTAAAAATTTTCAATTGGTTTTAATCGTGTGATAATTAAAAATACGTAAGGTAGGCGCAGAATAAATCTGCCAGTAGCCTTAAGTACATCTCATAATCTTCTTAGTCGATTCTATTTATATAAACTTGGTTGCTGGTTTATCATTAAAAAATATTGAATTGATATGAATCTGTAGTTAGAAAAGTAGTAAATAAATTATGGCTTAGAGGTAGCTACTGAGAGTTGAGCTTTTTCATCCTCCAGCGCCTTAGCAAGCCGAATCTCTACTTCGACCGTCTGATCAGCCTCAAGAAGGCGGAGAAAATCATTAGAAACGCCTGCCAACCGTGGGGAACGACCAATGTAAGGAAGAGCCGCCTTAGCCAGTACTTTACGCTGCTCGGGCGAGAGCGCTTCCAGGTCGAGATCAACATCTGAGAAGGTTATATAAAGGAAAGATAATTAATGTTCATAAATATAAATAAAATCAGTAAGGAATCGGAGTAAGAATACTCGATAAAAAAATGATAATTTGGAGAAAAGGGCTCATTTAAAAATGTTATATAAGCGCTATACATCCGAGAGAAGTCACGGGAGACATGGAGAAGCGTAAGATAATAAACTTTTGAATAACTCGGATAAGGAGAACAGATACTCCCATAAGCTCAAGGCCACCAGTTCGCAAAGAAAAATAGGAAGTAATAAAATTATTCGTAAGAAAGTAGGGTTTCGAGACTACCAGTAAATCTCATTATAATAAAATTATGTTGGGATTTGAATTCAGTGGAACAATAAATAAAAAGCCTTATAGACTATCCTCCCTTCCATCAACTTGATGGCTCCCTTAGACGAAGCATATCTAATAAGGCAGTGGTCTAGATAATAATACATCTTGAGTTTCCTGTCTTCACAACTAAAAGTCCGTTCCATAATTATACAATTTTACAAAATAAGAAAAATTTGAAACGAAGACAGCTCCACGAACTATCTGATTGACTGATTAATGTCTAAAACCCCCTTATTTCGTTTGAAGATGCGAATGGAAGGGATTCGTAAGTTGTTCTCACCGGAAGCCGAAGAGAAGTCGCTTTGGTGTTGTGACCAGATTTGTGAGAATAAGTCATCGACCCACCGTCTGCCGGCCCCGATAAATCATTGCTGAGCTTTCGGACATCATCAGAGCAGGGCAACATTCGTTAAGATAATTTGCCAAGCACAAAGACAAGAAAGATGGCCAACTGCGATCTTATCCATTTAGTATGGCCTAACGTTGGCCAGTTAAGGACACGTCTCATGATTTGGATTGAATATCCTATGCCTTTTCTATATGTTTGTTCAAAAATGAAGTTGCTGTGGGTGAAATCCTGCCAAAACAGCGGCATCCTCCCCTGAGCCCTCTAATTTTTTTATCTTGCAATGTTGTTGCATGTGAGTAAGTTCCATCGTACGTACGTTGCGTGCATAAAGTGCTCGTGAGACGCATGACGCGTGAAAATGAAAACCAGATTTGAGGCTGATCAAGTTTCCTCTCACTCGGTAATAGTTCTTGTTTCCTCTCTTCTTCTAGTCCTATCCAACAGCCACATGCATTTTCAGCTTAATTTCCTACTCATCCCTTCTATTCAGTGTTAGCTGTTGATTTGCTATGGGCTCTCCTAATCTTCCGTTTGCTGATATAATCTACATATCAAGCTAAGAGTTTGGCTTTAGGCCATTCCATTCAATATTGTATGAGCAGTGTTCGGCCAGTACTGATTCTTGGACCTACAAACATTTACAAGCTCTGTTGTATTCGGATAACTTTTTATAAATGAGTCGGCAGATATCCAACACGGACCCTATCACATGAACATAAAACCTTATGGCAGATCTATCTGGAGAGAGTCCGAAAATCCCAAAAAAGATAGCATTACTGAGGACAGTGTTATCTTCTCCTTATACATTGCCTGGATGACCCACTTCGTCGGTGATTTGCCTATCCTTTTCTAGAGCTGACACGATA